CGGGAGATAGTGCAGAACCCGGAGTCCGGGCCTAGAAGAATGGGGAGAAGGGTCATAGCTGGGGTCCCTAACCAGGAATCGGGGCGGGGAGGGCCAGGACCGACCCTAGCTTGCTGTGTGGCCTCTAACACGTCACTCTCTCATCCGGCCTCAGATTCTCCCATCTTTCCAATATAGTGAACCCTGAAGTTTCTCACGGGATCTTTCTATCAACCCAGAAGTTGAAAATGGACACAATTCTCATTCCCACTTTGCAGACGTAGAAAGGGAAGGCTCAGTCTGGGACAAGGGGAGAGGCTTGCCCAGGGTCATAGGGTCTGAAGGGGGCAGAGGCAAGCCTGGAGCTCAAAACGTCCTGACTCGCAGTCCCAACTGATGGCCTCTTGCATGACAGTGGCCGAAGGCTGCAGGCGAACCCATAGCACGTGGACGGGTTTGTGGGCACGGGGACGGAGCTAGCAAGCTGGGGTCTGACTGCACAGAAATCACAGACTCAAAGGACAGGCGGATGCCCTGCAAAGGACCTCTGGTCCAGCCTCTGGCTCCAAAACTACCATGCCTGAGGCACAGTGTGGTCACTGTGGACCAGCCCTCAGCGGAGTTTTGAGCTGCGTTGCTGGGGGCGGAGCACCCACGGAAGCCCCTGGCAGTGGGGCAAAGCCACAGGGCAGAGAACGGCCACCAGGTGGCAGCAGGGGCCCTGCTTCCCAAGGCGAGCTGTCCAGCGGAGCTAAGGTTGCACCTGCCGCTCCCCCACCACGGCCGGGAGGGCCCCCTGGCTTCTGTCCGCGTGAGTGGTTTTTCCAAATTTCTCACGTTCTGTCCAAATAACAAAAACACAGCAACAGCCCCGATGTCCTGTCGCTGAGTCTTAGCAATGACCCTAATGGACCCATTACACATACAGGCCAGGATTGAGCCTGCAGAGCTCAGCCGGCGTGCTGGAAACCGGGGAGAACCAGGATTCTAATCCAGAGCCCAGACTCTCAGCCTCGCCACCGTGTCATTCTGACACGAGGGGGCTGCTTCCGTGGAAGGGGACGGGCTGGTTCAGCCATGGGCCCGGACACAGGGAGGCGAGTTAGAGTCGGGGAGAGCTGGACCGCCCTCCCCTCCCCT